AACAACAACATACATAATCTATCCAGTTTTTCTCAGTTTTACCCCAACCCTGATGTCAGTCCCATTCTACAACAGTGGCACCATGCAGTATTTGTCCTTTATCTGGGCTTTTTAATGTTAAGCAAGAACTCCCTAAATGTCCATGAATAGGAAAGCTCTGGGGGAAGACACTAACTGCCTGGCCTACCTCTTTTAAAAAAGGTGTTGCTGTCAAACGGATAGGTACTTCATTTGCTTAGGAATCTTATTAAAATGCAGGCCGGCTAGTAGGAGTGGTGATCTGGTGCCATTATTGCTGATCAGTGGGCACCCTCTGAGGGGCTTTACGAAGCACAGTGGACACAGCGGGGAGGAGCACAGAAGAGGCCATTCACCATCAGAGTCCCACAGCTCAGCTCACTGAAGGCGGTACCAGGAGCCCATCCCTGGTGAAGTCAAGGACAGTTACGGTGACGTGCTCCAGGGTAACCTCGCTTCCCTCTGGAGGCTTGTCTACAACTATGACCTTGACATTTACCTAAATGGAGAGTGAAAAGTAAGGCTCTAGAACTTTGGAATTAACTAATCCGATGATAAAACCAGTCTTCATTTTAGCTTCAGAAGATAATGATGTTTTTACAGTCATCACCCTGGCCATCAGAATTCAAATTCCTTGCTGTCCAGGTGGAGCGGCCTCACAGCTGACCCTGCCTGGGTTTCCGAGGCTGTAAATGTCCTGAGAGGAGACTGCTGCTCGTTCTCCTGTGGAGCCTATAGTGCAACCGCCAGAGGGGCGTGGCCTTGGGGGTCAGCAGCCTAACTCCGCCCACCTCCAGCCCCCCATGACTGCACCACCAGAGCGTCCTAACTGGGTGGGAAGCCAAGTGAACTGTTAACAGCCTTTTACATGCGATAGCTGATACATGGGAAATGGCACTCTGGTGGTGCAGTCCACAGCGGCATGTAATGCTAAGCCAAACGCAGTGCCCCCTGGCAGTTCGAATCCACCAACCGCTACAGGGAGAACAACAGAAGAGAAATCTGCTCCATTTACAGCCTCAGAAATCCGCTGGACGGTCAGCTAGGAGGAGGTTCTGACTCAACAGCAATTAGCTAACGTGAAAAACAGTGCTGAGATATAACCCCCCGGAAGAGATGGGCTGATACAGTGACTGGGGCAATGGGGTTTGGTGTGTCAGGGTCAGTGAGACTGGCTCAGGACAGGGCAGGGTTCAGAGCTGCTGAACACAGGGTCACTATACGTCACTGGTGATGCAACGGTCCATTAACAAGTATACCGAATTCCAGAACAAATCCATTTTTATACTTACTACATCCTAAAAGTAAGAGGGAAAAGAAAACCAAAACAAATACATTTCTAACTAGATCTAGACCGGTGTAGGAGCTCCGGAAGTATTGTCTGTAGGCATGCTGCACTGATGACCACGAGGCTGTGCATCTCCAGCAGTTCAAAACCATCAGCCTCTCCGAGGGATGACGGGCAGTCTCTCCTGCTAAGACTTAACGGCCTTAAGAGACTTCAAACGAGGAGAGTGACTATAAGTCAAAACTGACAATGGCAAACGGGTGAGCGAGCCTCCGGTGGAGCAGAGAGATGTATAAAAGCTGAAGCCAAGTCTGTTCTCCAAGAAAAAGGCAGACCAAGGACCCGGCTCCACGTAAGGTCATTGCAGACAGATGAGCAGACGGAGCGAGACACAGCTTCAAGCTCATGGATGCAGGGACTTGGAAAACTTACTCCCAGCCCTTCTGCAGCCTGAGCTCTGGGGACACGTTAACCCTCAGGGATGAGGCTGTATCGCAACTTCACATCTAATCACTCAGAAAGCATACAGAGAGGCCGCCCACGGAACCTACCGTTGTATAACTCTGCTCAGCATCCAGGTACTTCTTATACTCGTGATTGAGTTTATCAAAAACAGTGGCGATCACCGGCAGCGTGGCTCTGTCTGACTCGCCTAACACTGGAGGGGACACAATGTTCAAACACACATCACACCAACATCATGACAACTGCAACATGCAAGCAAACTGCAACACTGACAAAACCAACTCTGGACACGTGCACCTTTAAAGAGCATTCAAAGAAGTATACTTGAGGGGTCTGAAACCTAGAAACCGCTCGTTCACACCTTTCTGCTTGTTAAGAAGAGTTACAGCAGAGGTCAGCAGATCACTCCTAACGTGGATCTGTCCAAGTACGGGGTTACTCAGACTCTTAAAACAACAGAATTTTTAAGGGTGGAAGAGGTTACAAGTAGGTAACTTGTGTGCACCCATGTTTAGGTTTAGTTTAATCGCGAGCAAATGTTTTAAGCCTTTTCTACCAAAATCCCAAGCTGTTTTCTACTTCTCAGCCTTCTCAGGAAGCATTACATAGCCCATCCTTCAAATGAGGAAAGAAGTTATAGGCTGCAGACGAGATGTAACAATGGGGTCCACCTCGCAGGAAGAGGTGCTGGGCAGCTCAGGCCTATAACTAGAATTAGACCAACAGGGGGAAAGAGACCCCCAACTTACTTTGGAAACAGACAGACAGGATGACCATCTTGCACTCTTTTCTCTGGAGGAGAAAGTCCATCAGCCTTCCTTTATCTGGCAAGAGGTTGACTATGGGCTGAAGCTTCACTTGCAAGTTCCACAGGTAACCTGGGTTTAAGAGGCAGCAAAGTTAATAGTGGGATGAAAACTAGAAGTTAGAGAAGCGGTGCCCCTCAACGTTCATGGGGGGTGGGGAGAAGACTGAAAAGCACAGCTAATGGCTTTTTTTTTAGCTTTATTTTACTATTCTTTGTGTGTGTACTGTCAAATCGGATCTGACTGGTAGAGGAGGAGATTGCCCCTCCTTCTCCAGCAGAGTATCTGGTGGATTTGAACTGCATATCTCTGGGACTGCAGTGCAGCTTCTTTCCACTAGGCCACCAGAGCTCCCTATAGCTAATGGCTTCTTACAACATGCAAACACAGCCTGAGACAGTGCAGGTATGCCTCACCATAGCAACCAAACCTGCTGCCTGCCTGGCTGACTCCTCAAAACAAAGTAACCCCTTTGCTCTGAGGCCCATCAATGGTGGGCGGCTGGGTGGTGTCACAGACTGAGTCTGTTTCAACCCACAGCACTCCATGTGACAGGGCAGACCTCTGGCAAAAGCCAATGTCATGCAGAAACACCTTTTTCTACACTGAGAGATAAAAACGCAACAGACGTGAGGAAAGGAGAGCTTTGAGAGCTGACCAAAGACTCGCCACTCTCTGTGTCTAAGGAATTTAAAGTTCTTGGCCACTGAGAGGTTAAGAGCTTGAATCCACCTAGAGGAGAAGGACATGGATACCCCCTCTCGCTCTATTTCCCCCTTTTTTCCCCTTGCTGTCTGCTGTCGAATTGGATCCAACTGGCGCAGGAGGTTGTCCCTCCTTCTCCAGTGGAGCATCTGGTGGATTCAAACTGTGCGCCTTTGGGATTGCAGCGCAGCTTCTTGCCACTAGGTCACCAGAGCTCCCGATACCCTCTGTCTTAAAGAGGTTCCCAGGACTGCAACATCTTCCCTGCAGTTTCCAGCTTCAGAAAATCTGAGCAAGGGTCAAGGGTCAGCCTGAGTCAGTCGCTTCTGACTCGATGGCAAGTTATCTGAGTTTGAGTTAGTAGCTAGGTACTTAATCCCCATGCGAGCAGGGCCCCCCCCCCAAGACCCGGCTGCTACAGCACTGTCTGCTCACGATGTCATGCCCTGTGACCCACCTTGGCTCGCACTGATGATGATGTCAGGCTGGAAGACAATCCAGGATGAGGAATCTATATGTCATAGGAAACTGTGTTCTTAGAGATGAGACCAAAAGTGGGTCCCCTTCCACGGCACTCATGCAGACCCTGAGAAGGTGGGCCCTTGACGGTCGGGAAACCTCCCCCAAAGATGGGCTCCCAAGCCCATCACAGCTCACTAGGGTGGGGTGTCCTCCACACTCCTAGAAACCTGGGTGAGGAAAGAGGAGTTCGCCCATTTCCCATCCAAAGACCCTGCTAACACCTTTTCAAAGGATACAGAGCTTACAGGGAACAGGAGACTGGCTGGTCACGGAAGCAGGACCTATAAAATGAGGACACATGGATGTGCTGTTAGAAAAATGGCACGTGTTAGGATCTGTGGTCTATCCCACCGTCCTTAAACAAGGGGGACCTGGTCAACTACGGACCGTCCACTAACCCGCACAGGAGGATGAGGAACAGGGCAGCGCACCACCTAGTGGTCAGTCCACCACCTAGTGGTCAGTCCACGACAGTGTCTTCCAAGAAGGGACAAGCCTGGCAAGGCCCTGCTCCAGCCAAGGGGGTTTCCAGGAAACCAAGATGACTCAGCATTCATCCCCGGGTCACACTGAAGAACTGAGATAGCTATCCGGATGGTTTAAAGGCCAACACCCAGAAAACTACGGAGGCACCTTCAAACAAAAGTGCTCTGTGGGGTGATTAACTCCTGAAATAATTCACTCCATTCCCATTGCAGGGAGGTCTCGTCTGAGACACAGGTCCACAGAAGCCTCACATGGTGGGGACTCAACCACCAGTCGGAGGCACACAGCCTAACTCGACAAAATAGCCCTACAGACCACAGATGGAAGTACCACCTGGGGCTGTGAGGACAGTGCTGACCGCTGGCTGCGAGCAGGGGGCTTTCCGAGCAGCCCACCCAGAAGCAGGGTGAGGCGAGCCCGGCGGCTGACGACACAGATCGCTGTGACTGTAAGACAGCCTGGTGACCCCAAGGTGACTGTAGACCAGGACCACCGAGCTAATCGGCCGGACCAAATGGGGTTGAGGGCAGCTGGTCTCTCAGCCAGAACAAGTCAGACCGCTGTGACTGTTAAGAGAGCCCAGTGATCTCAATGTGACAGCAGGCCAAGAACACCGGACTAATGGGCCAGACCAAACGGGGTCGAGGGCAGCTGGTCTCCCAGCTGGAGCAAAGCTGCATAAGATTCACAACCCAGCCAGGGCAAGTGCAAAGGGGCTATGAGCCTCCAAAGGAGAAACAAACTGGAAACCACCAATAGTCTTACAGATGCACAGATGCAGAAGTGTCTCTGCAGTTCTCAAGGCTGGGGACGGGGAGCTTCTGAGGGGCTTGGGGTTTCTGCTGGGGGTGACGGGGAACTCTGGGAAATGGGCAGCGGTGACGGTGCACAAGGTGACTGAAATGAACACAAAAATAAACTGTACACTTAAAATGGTTAAAAAAGCAAAATTCACTTCAAACTGCCAGCCTTCGAGTTAGCATCTGATCCCCTAAGCCACTATGTCTTTTAATAAGTATTTTTTTACCACAGTAAATATTCCATTTAAAAGGCACTGGAATCAGGAAATGTTTTACTAATCACATGTTCTAGAAACCCAGAGTAAATGAAATCTGCAATTCCCCTTTTGGATCTTTTCTCCAACACTTTTCTTGTTATGCATTTGTTTTATCATAACCAGCCAATTAAACTAAAACCAAACTGACAACTGCTGAGTCAATTCTGACTCACGTCGGCCCACGTCAGGTTTCTGATGCTGCAAATACCAATGGCACTGCAGCTGCTGGGTTTGAACTGCCAACTTTGGTTAGCAGCCTAACACTTGATCTCAGGGCTCCTAAACTAGCCAATCACCCTGATTCTCTTCGGGTGGATGCCACAGTCAGAAAAGAGCTGGAGGCTTTTAACCTTGACACGATGATTGTGTTTTGTTTTGTTTTTTAAATTCTGTTTTGTTTTTCTAATTCACCAGCAGGCTACCTTCCCATCCCATGTGAGCCGTAAATACATGATTGTCCTTTGACACAATTAGATCTTTTCCTGCCACTATTATTCACCATGAGAAAGAAAGACGCTGGAGAAAACAAAGGCCAAAAGACTCATTCCCACCAGATGCTCTGCTGGAGAAAGAGGGACAATCTCCTCCTGTACCAGTCAGATCCGAATTTGATGGTACACACACAAAAAATAATAAAATAAAATTTTAAAATATTTTTTTTAAAAAAAAGACTCACTCGTGGCGTCTATGAGAACCAGCTCTTTCCTCTTCAGCTCAGCCAGAAAGTGATTAAACTTCTGGCTGATCCTTCCACTGTCTGAGGTACAGAATCCTACAAACCTCCAATGGGGGCCAGTCCAGAGTGGGTCTGGTGAGGCCCCCAGCCTGATCCTGCCCTGCATTCTTCTGAGAAGGTTCAGGGGGCTCTGACTGCAGTGGGGCCGGGCGCCCAATGGATGCCCTTGGATTGGTATTTCTCTTATTAACAGGATCGTACTACTGGAGTTCCAAGGATGCGCACCTACAGGTCCACTTCTGCACGTGAACTACAATAAGCTAAGGCGGGATCAGGTCCCCTTTAAACCAGCAGCCGGCCGGACATTTGTGTTCTGTTCCACTAGGGAAAAGGCAGAAGGAAATGAGGTGGCTTCTATCCTGTGCTCCGAAATCCTGACCTTGTCTCTAACTTCCTACTTGGTACTGTTTCAGGTAGAAGATCTGATTCTCGAGTAACCTTAGAATCATGGCCTTCAGCAGTCACTGTACCATCAGAGTCAGAAAACAGTGTAGTGTTTCTGTAAAAACTGTGCCGTGGAACATCAGGAAGCCAGGAGACAATGCGGCCGGGGCAGAAACCACCAGCAGCAGCCAAGTCAGAGTGGAGTTTTGAGAACTCAGACCAACAAGCTCTTAAGGGCTTATTCTACATGAGAGAAAAAAAAAAAATCCTGCCACTTCAATGAGTAATCACAACTCTTCATTTTAAAGCACTGAGATGAGAAATCTATTTTCTTTAGACAAAGATTTGTTCATCTTATAAGCAGCTTCTACCATGTAAGTAAAGCTTCTAGGATCAGTGAGATTATTCACCACCCCCCACTTTGGGAAACTGAACAGTGTAATGAACAGATGGGGGCTCTGCCTATAGCCTCCTGGGGCCACACTAAACCGGATTCCCAAAGATCACAGCAAGAGGCAAATAGGGTGTCTCACCTGCCATGGGGATCTGGTAGGGCTGAATTGATCTTGGGGGGAGCACAGGGTGATGGACTGTAAGGGCCCCGTCAAACTCGCCCCTCAGCTTGATGTCAAATATGACAGACGTCTAAGCACAGAGAGAGAAAATGGTTACACCAAACACATCTGGCCTGCCACTGCAGCTCAGGTTCGAGTCTCAATCTGCATTCCTCATTGCAGACAGGACAGGCTACCTCCTATGTGAGCAGGTATCTGCCCCAGCTCCCACCTGCCGTGTAGATAAATGGCTTTTTATCTGCCCAGGTAACAGCTAAGGAGAAATGGGGCCCTCTCTACTCTCTGGGACCACACATGATCAAACACTCAGCACACAGTGGCTCTCTCTGCAGCCAATGCCCAGCTTAGGTGACTTGACCAGTTAAGTGACTTGACCAGTTACCTGTCCCAGAAGCTAGACCTTGTCAGGTGCTACGTGACTATGATTATCAATCACTGCTTCTTCTAGACCATTTAGAATGAACTAAATCCCAAATTCCACCTGGAAGGCAAAACTTATCATAAAAGGTCCTGTCTACCCCTCCTTTGGAACGTCTTGTGATTTTTTCACAGTTCATTTTTAAGTCACCCTAACTGGTGCAGACGAGATGGGAATCCTTCTACAGCTCATACCTCCGTGTCCTGGTGGTGAACGACTATCAAGTTGTCCACCACGTTCAGGGCAAACTTCCCCGTCCTATTCAACTTCAGTATGTGCATCTTTTTACAGGTACCTTCTCTGCAAAATAACAGATAGGTAAAAATAATTTAAAAAAAAAAAAGATCATGAAGCTTGAGTTCCGACTTTGAAATCAGAGGCAGAGGGCAGAAAGCAGGGAGTTACCGTGGTACATGGTAGAGCACCACCTCCGCTCCGGTGCTATTGGATGTCCGTGAGTGATGCCTCAAGAAGAGAACATAAAGCTGTCCATATCTAATAGGGGAACAGAGACACAAGTCACACCTGGCCACTTAGAAGGCGCTGGTTAACGTCACTGTAAGACACTCATTCAACCAATTCTTTGTATCCAAATGTGCACAAAAGAAATACAATCAGTCAGAAAATGCCGACGGCCAAGTGCAGAGTGGAATGAAAAATGGAACACAGCTGCTCACAAATTCTTTCGGGGGGAAAAAAACTCCACAAACTTATACAGAGACAGAAGAGGAAAAAAATTGCTCCTAGTTAGCTCTGAGTGATAAGGCAAGCTGATTTTCCACTTAAAAGTTCTCTAGTCAGAAATCTAATCAATCCTTATTTTTAAGCCTCATCTTATGGTAACCCTGTACAGGCCAGCTCCTGCGTGGTGTCTCTACCCTGGGAGGCTTTCTGTGATGTTCTAGAACACTGCACTGGGCTGGCGACACGAGGTGGGGGAGGCCAAGATGGGGGTCCGGGTCCCAACTCCAGAGAAGGGCTCCCTGCTTACTTGTTTCTTAAACTGGTTTCTAGTCTCTTAATTTAAAAAATATGTTTGAACACTAGAAACATATTACTTTCTTATTCTGCCCAGTAATATTTTATTTCTTTATATACATATACACACACACATACATATATATACACACATACACATATACACACACATACATATATATGTATATTGTGTATATATAAAATAATCCCTGAGAAGACTTAAATCTCAGAAAATGGGGGGGGGGGAATTCCAACATCGGATGATATCTAAGAAATAAACTGGTTCAATGTCCTCATTTTATCAGCCTAGAAAGGTTAACAACCTTCCATGGTATCACAAGGCTGGCAGGTTAAGAAAGATAGCGGGCCTGTGATGGTCATAAAATGTAGGGCGCTTGTCCCTGTGCTCGAGGGGGTCCTGTGGGAAGGGCCCCACGCAGTGGGGCAGCCTCCCAACGCAACCACTCAAGGCGATTACAATAAAGCAGCTCTCTCAGCGCAGACGTACATCGTAGCCATCGCCATGTCTCTTTCGGAAAGGCTGAGTTTCGTTGACTTGGGTGCGGCGGGCAGTTCAATCTCAAACTTGGGCAGCTTGGACATAGTGACACCCTGTTTCAGGGGGGAAAGAGTTCTAGGAAAAGTTTATTACAACCCTTTAGGTATTCTCTACCCCCGGCATCATAATGCTTTCTCTGGATCAGACTGCTAACTGAAAGGTCAGTGATTCTAATTCACCCAGGCACCCGAAGAGAGAAAGGTGGGCTGTCTCCTCCCACACAGATTTACAGCCTTGGAGCCCTAATAGAGGGTCGTGCTGAGCCAGACTCCACTTGATGGCAGTGAGTCTTACGCATTCTTGCTTCGTCTTTGTAAAGTCATGTACACATACTGTACACATACCTTCTGCCTTTCTGGATCTCCTATAGAAAGGACAGATTTACTCACTGGCCTCATTCAGGGAGGTGAAAGGATGGGAGAGGATGCCCTCTGGTGGTCAGAAGTGTTGCTGCTCTCGTTAGAGGACTTCACACTCTTACCCTAAAATAAAAGGGCTGCAGGACGTTGCCAAGGACGGTGGTGGACAGCAGGATGACAGCGCTCTCGGGGCAGTACATGTACCAATTCACGTTGATGTTCTGACTCTTCAGCAGTTTCAGATTCCGTTTCTCTGGTAAAACCTGAAACCACGTTCAAGAAACAAAACTACTTAGAAATAACAATCAGAAGATTGGTGCACTAAATGAAAAAAAACCTAAACCACCAACACAAAATTAAATCAGAAACTACTATTTTCACTAATTACAGCTAACACTGATAGAACTCTGTGCTTGGCACTTTACGTATCTAACAGGAGGCTGTCATGAGCTGTACTCGACATTAAAAAAAAAAAGATTCAAAGAGGCTGGAATCCACCAGATTAACACATCAGAGATAGCCTGGGGGGCTGCCTCACTCCTAAAGCCTATCTGAGCCCCTAATTTCTTCAGCACCATATAAGAACAAGGAGGATCAACAAATTGTTACTTATTTAAGAACTGTCAAAGATGAACCCACAGCAGAGCTCTGTACACTGAACGGCTGGCTATTGCCCGGCCTGCAGCTCCCAGCCAGCCTGGTCTCCACCTTGACCCCGGGCTGCACTGTGCCCGGGACAAGCTCACTTTTGCTAGAAGACGTGTTCAAGAAACTCTGGATGCAAACTTGTTCTTTCATAATGAAGCTGCATCTTAAAGAGAGTCTGATACACTAAGACATGCTGGATAGAGACCCCTGGGCCCCAAAACCAACACGGACCTCATCACGCTGAGGAACTGACTGGAAAGTCAGGGTGGGAGGCATGAAATCAGAACAATAAAATAGGGATGGGTATGCAGATGATAGTTTGAGATAATGAAAACACTATGTCTTTACTAAAAATGCTATGTCTTGGGTCAGGCACATATGCTCCTGAGAAGTGAGGAGGACTGGCCTTGTACTTTGGGCATGTTATCAGGAGGGGACAGTCTTTGGAGAAGAACATGATGTTTGATAACACAATCAGTGAAAAAGAGGAAGCCTCTCAATGAGATGGAATGACAGAGTGGCAGCAGCAATGACTCCAACAGAACGAATGGCCTTGAGCAGGGTGTAGGGGTCCCTCTGTGTTGGAACTGACTCAACGGCATCTAACAACAGTTATTCTGAAGGATTATAGGTGACTTTTTACTTTCCTAAGACATTCTATACAGAAAGTAAAGTCACCTACGTTGTTGTTGTTGCCATAGAGTTGGGCTCAACTCACAGTGACTCTGTGAACAAAAGACCTAAGGCCTTTCCATAGCTATCATTGTTTCCCCAAATTCCTAGAGTTTCCAGAGGCATATGATTTAGGAAGTAGATGCCACTCCTGCTTCCAAACCTGTTTTACAACTGGGAGCTAACACTGTCTACAATAGGAAACCATTCTGGTATTTGATACCCCAATGGCACAGGGTTCAGCATCACAGCAAACCCAAGTTCTTCATACTGCACATTGCCAAAGAGTGATGTACAAAGTAGAAGAGTGTTCCTCCAAATACAACAGCACTAGTTTCATTTAGCAGTGGTTAAGTGTCATCAAGTCAAATACGACTGAGAGTACGCTTTGCACAAAAGACCTGAACTCAATTCTATAACTAACTTAATTTCTGTATATTTAGAGATTTTATAGTTTCCGGAGGCATCTAGTTTAGGAAGTGGATGCACTCCTGCTTCCCAGCATAAATCAATCTGGAAACTCATCCAAACACTGCACATAATGAGTAATCACTATGGTATTTGACAAGACTATGAAACAGTGTGCAGCATCACAGCAACACCAAGTTGTTCAGTTCAGCAATTAGACAAAAGATTGCTGTATCATTCACGGAATATTCATTCAAAAATTAATAAACTCTGCTGGGTTTAAAGCCACACCTTTGAGCAGGCCTGTACCCTAGGCAAAGATTCAAGGACACCCGCTCTTGGAGGGAAAAGAGCAGTAATACACATCAAACACGACTCCAAAAAAAATAAGACCCCCAAATCCTCCCTTACATGCCCATCAGGACTGCCATCAAGATGCAGCAAACAGCCAAACTCAAAAAGTCACCTATAATCTTTCAAAATAACTGTTGTTTAGATGCCATTGGGTCAGTTTGACTAGATGGTACACAACAACAAGTCTTGTAATGCTGGAATATTTTATAAAAACGCATGTCTTCTTTGTAACTAGAAAGCTCTGGTGGCTTAGTGCTAAGGAACTGTGCTGCCAACCCAAAGGTATAGGGTTCAAATCCACCAGCTGCTCTGTGGAAGAATATGGACAATTTTCTCCCATGCAAGTTACAGCCTCTGAAAGCTCACTGGAGGGTCAGCTGAGTCAGTTTTGATTCGACAGTAAACAACAATATTTGTAACTAAGGAAAAAGATTAAAAATCTAAGGAAGAGATTTTATAAAGTGCTAGAATCTATAAACATATCTTTAATACTGAATGTAAAAGGCTTGTAAAGCTCCTCAACCCTTGAACTTTTCCCTTCACCACTGCCAAAGAGTTAATGGCATCTCACTGCAACCCCTTTCCAGGATTTGGGAGCTGTCAATCTTTATGGAAGGAAAATATCTGTCTTTCTCCCTTTGAGAACCAGGAGATTTGAACCACCAGCCTTTGGGTCAGCTGCCTGCCACTTTAAGCACTCAACTATTGGCACTCCTCCTTGAACTTGTCCCAGCAAATGTAAGTGGGAAACACAATACCTGGTAAAATTCAATTCCTTGATCTGTTATAAAGACAATTTCAGTAGAACTGGTCCAGCAGAATCCTAAGATGTTGGCATTCTTGGTCTGAAAAGAATTACAGATTTCTTTTAAATTAAAAAGCAAAACTTATTTTTATAATTTGCTTCCCTAACAGAATAAATAACATATAACTCTCTTGAAAAGCTTAAAATGTTCCCCTGGATTTGTAAAAAACTCAACTAATTGCTATGGAGTTAGAGCTTACAGCTGACCCTCCAGATCTCCGGAGGTGTCAATCACCTGGGAGGAGATATACCATCTCTTTCTCTTGGAGTCACGGGTGGATTTGAACCACCAGAGCTCCCTACTCCACTATCACTACACCTTGCACACAGTTTCTCTAATTTCCCTTCATTCACTAAAGCACTTAGATCTTAATTTCTTCTGCATAGCAGAGGAGAGGAAAAGAGACTGAGATTTTCAGAAAGGTGGTAACTGATCAGAGCTTCTTTTTTTTTTCTTTTAAATGTGCTTTATTTCAGATTCCAGTGATCTGAGTGAAAATGAATGACATGGATGCCTTAAAGATCGTTGTTCTGACATCATAGGATCAAGCCAGGCCTCTTAAAGGGTGGTCAAAGGGAATGAGGTAAAAGGAACGTGGGAAGGGGCTGGGAGTGGCATTTCCAGGGATCTGATAAAAGCTGTTCCATGATGTCTCTCCTGTGACAATGGCCAAATGTCCTATGTTTGACATTCGAGGTTTCCTTGCTGACAATGCGTTCTTCAAGGAATTGTCTACGGTCTTTTTTTTTGTTCAGGGTGGTTTGATTGCAAATCTTTAGTTCCTGGAATAACAGCCTCACAAATATCTAATCAATCATGTTAAAGACTTTCCACAGGCAACTTCCACTCTTGTCTGAGGAGTCAGGTTAAGGACCTTCCATGGGCAAATTTTACTACCATCCTGAACTACGTCTGTCCAGTTAGGTTAAAGAACTCTACACAGACAATTCTCACTACTGTCATAAACTCACAAACTATGTCTGAGTTCCTCCCACCATCCTTCCCCACGGACTGCATGACTATTTCTACAAGATTTAAGAGATTAGCTTTATGTGAAAACTACTGGTTTGTTGCTTTGCAATTTAGGGCTGAGCGTGGCTCTACTGGGCTCACAGCCATCAAATCAGGGCCGAAAGAGAGCAGACGAAATCCAACAGCAGATCCCTGTGGCACATAAAGAAACAGACGAAAGGTAGCTCATGCTTCACAGAGACTTGTGATGCATGGAAATGATGAGAAGTGCAAAACACTATTTGTACTCAGTTATAGATTACAGGGTATACAGACAAAGCACATCAAAGGGCTTCAGTTGTGATTAGAAAACTTGCCAGTTCCTTCTGCTGTTACTGTTGGCATGGGCCGAGTTGACCGCGACTCACAGCGACCCTATGAATGGGAGACCTGACCCCGGCCCTGTCCTCACCACCCTCACCCCCCCCCGCCCCTGTTCTGCTCGAGCCCACTGTGCTCCAGACACTGTAAAGTCATCTCACCGAGGATCTTCCTCTCTCAGGCCAAACTAAAACCCCTTCTCTTAAAAAAATGTGATAGGAAAAAGGATTCCCTTTTTGTTATTCTATCAGTTGTAAAAAAGACAGCCCTTCCTGCTCAAGGTAGTGTTAATTTCAAACTATTACAGGGTACTTAAGAAAGAAATCCCTTCTACAACCAGGAGAAGATAAAATAGATGAATGGGACCATCTAAGAATCAAATCCCTTTTAAATTTTGCTATTCTGACCGGGGTGAGATATCCCATGGTTGTTTTGATTTGCATCTCTCTTAGAGCTAGGGATTATGAACATTTCTTCATGTGCTTGTTGGCCATCCCAATGTCTTCTTTGGTTAAGTGTCTGTTCATATCCTGTGCCCATTTTTCAATCGGATTATTTACCTTTATCTTGTTGTCGTGCTGAAGTATTTTATAAATTCTAGACATATAAGTCCTTTATCTGAGATGTCATTACCAAATACTTTTTCCCAAGTCCGTGAAGATTGTGGAGAAACTGGAACCCTTATTCACTGTTGGTAGAAGTGTAAAATGGTGCAACCACTGTGGAAGGCGGTATGGCACTTTCTCAAAAAGTTGCAAATAGAGATACCATTTGACCCAGCAATTCCACTACTGGGAATATACCCTAAAGAGACCATAACTGCCACCCAAGCAGATATATGCATACCCACGTTTATCACGGTTTTGTTCACAATTGCAAGGAGTTGGATACAACCTATGTGCCCATCAACAAATGAATGGATAGATAAGCTGTGGTATATTCACACAATGAAATACTATCTGCACTGAAAAACAAGGAATTCATGCAATATTATTCAAAATGGGTGACCCTGTAAAATATTATGTTCAGTGAAATATCTCAGTCACAAAGGGACAAATACTACATGGTGCCACTGTTACAAAACAAGACTGACATCAGGGTTGGGGGGAGACTGAGAAAGATTGGATAAATAATGTATACTGCATTGAAACAGATGAGGGAGAAAACTGTTTAAAAGGTATATGTGATTAGGTATTGTCATGACAGGAGTTCAGAGTGAAGGCTGCATAGTGGGATGGATTTGGGGGGAGGGATTGTAAAACAATGAAAGAACTTTTACTTTTTAAAGAGAAACGTGTGGGCAGGGAGAAAAGCGCAACAATGAATGAATGGAAATCCAAAGTCTCTAAATTTTCATTAAAATTAATAAAATTTAAAAAAAAAAAAGCAATTCCTTTCCTCCTGTACTATGGTGTAACCAGGGAGCTGTGGTGAGGAGCCACGCCGGGCAAACCCACCAGCTGCTTCGTAGAAGGTAGATCAGCAGTCTCCTCTCATGCGATTTACTGCCTCTGAAACCCACTAGAGGGTCAGCTACGAGTCGGTCCCAGCTCATCAGTACACAACAATAACAACAACAAGGGGCTCTAAGGGATTCATTTTCTATTACTCAGCTTTGCACTCTCTTTGGTTCCTGGCTTTCCTGATCTTGGTACCAGGGTGGTGGCCCCTCTCTGGCTGCTTCCTGTGAACACGGGTGTGCAGTGATCAGAGCTTCTTCTTGCTCTTTACCACGCAGTCAGAACTGACTCACAGCTGACCCTCCAGCAGGTTTTCAGAAGCAGTAAACTCAACAGGAGGAGACTGTCCATTCCTTTGTCCTGTGGAGTAGCTGGTGGATTCCAACTGCGAGCCTTTGGGGTGCAAGCGATGTCCCTCGCCACTAAGCCACCAATGCTCGCTGACCAGAGCTTCCAGGTATCAGTTTTAAAGAATCAAAATTCAGTTGGCATTTTTAGTCAACTCAGTATGAAAAACTGGCAGTATAAAAAAACCATTACAATGAGTAACGGTTTCCTCACACTGTCTACTTGATGGCCAACAGCACCATGTGCCTGAGACTGGTGAAGCCCCACAGGACAACAGCAAGGTCACACGGAGAGGGACTGTGGGTCAGCAAGGGCCTGAGCCCACCCTGCACTGCACTCAGCAACGCCATGAAGAAGCTACATAAAGCCAGGCGCAGCCAGCGTGTGTCTACTCCCGGGGTACCCCCTTCCTACCCACACCGACTGCCTGGCCTGATCCAGCATCCCCGGAAAATCTAATTAGTGTGGCTTAGCCTACACCTGGGAAAGCAAGAACAAAGGGGCAGGACAAGGGCAAGAAAACATCGTCCAGGAGGGAAAGGACTCTTGCAAAAGCCTCAGGGGAAGCAGCTCTAGCAGGAGTGTTTGCCGCCAGACCACAGCTGTCCCTGTGTAGACAGGGCGATGGTGACAGCAGGCGCCACCTCCCACCACCACCCCTCACCAGTGCTGATCTCCAACACCCATCAACACAGAATCCGCCCAGCTCCGCTTAACTCACTCTCTCTCACTGCTGTGGAGCCAGAACTGACCCACAGCTAACCTTCCAGTGGGTTCTCAGAGGCTGAAAGTCACACGGGGGAAGCTGTCCATCTTCCTCCCAGGGAGCAGCTGGAGGATTAGAACCAGCGCAATTCCCTCCCACTAGGCATTCAGAGATCCCTCGACTCTGCTTCAGAGACAACAGGCTCAGAAAAACTGATCAACATCACAGGGCTGACAGGTAGCCAGCCTCGGTATTAGGACAACTTCAAGTGTGTGTGCTCCACCGGTGCACTGCTCTGACCACCGGGCCACAGAGCGTTGAATGCCACATGCACACGACCACACCTTGAAAGCCACAAGACCACAAAACACTAAACACCACGAGACCACACAACCACACAACACTGAACACAATGAGAGGATATGTCCACACAACACTGAACGCCACGAGGCCACACAACCCTAAGTGACAGGAGACCACACGACCACACAACACTGAACGCCATGTGACAATGTTCATACAACACTGAACACCATGAGACCACACAACCACACAACCCCGAACAACATGAGACCACACAGCCACACAACCCTGAATGCCATGAGACCACACAAGTAAACATTATATAATCACACAGTGCTGAATAGCATAGCACTAAACATCACACAACACAGTACCCAATGTCATGTGTGCTGGTGTGGTCAACACTGAGTATCAGCTGAATGACCACGTGATCCACACAGTGTTGAATACCACAAGACCACACGATGCTGAACACCACACAACCACATGACCTCACAACCCACGCCGTCCTGAACACCACATGAGCCAGCCACATACCACGGACCACCATGACGGACTACACGACCTTCACAGAACTGTGCACCAGAGGACCACACAACACTAAACACCATCTGCCACATGACAACACAATAAATGACCACCACATGAATACACACACACAAACACTGCGCACCACATAACCCATGAACACCCCAGAACCACAAGACACGCACAGCAGTGACTGAGGCCAGCGAGCACGGGCCACGTCCATACCTTGCATTCCTGTGTGTACTCCTGCTGAGAATTATCAGGGATGAAATTAGAAAAGTCCTGAAAGAGAAAAAAAACATACCACCAAACCACATGGAGAGATTTGGATCAAGTAGCACAGCCCCAGCCTATCCGGGTAACCAAGATTTAAAAAAAAAAAAATCTACAAAATCCCAAAGACCACAAAGATAGAAATACCAATGTGGATATTCAGCCCACTTCACTGCAGCAGGTTTACCAATTTTAAGTGTTATTCCAAGTATTTGGTTCATTCTGTTAGTTTATAATTTGATTTTTAAATCCTCAAATGGTTCACTTCATTCCTCAGAGGGCTGTTTTCACAGAAGTGTTTTGCTACATCACACAAGAGGCTTTCCAGAAATTTTAACAATCGTAACTAAAGGGAGAAATCCACACAGGATTCTAGTCAGTCCTCTTCCTTATAGTTTTGTCTCTCCAGCCAGCTTCCCTAATGTAACGCTGAGTATTCAGTGCTTTTAAATCTCACAATCAAATTCATAAAATTGTCAAAAATATACCTCACATAGCTTACGCTTCATGCAATGAAACCAACAAAAAAGATGAGGTTCCAAGTTACTTTTTTAAAAAAACAAACAAACTTACAAGTTAAAAAAACCCCTACAAACTAGGAACAGCTTTCTTTTTACCCATTCAAATCCCTTTCTCATCTTCAAGAATGCTACACGCTCAAATAATAGACCAATTAACACTGGAATTTTGCACTTCACCCTCTTCTAAATGCACTTCCTTTCTGCTACAAGTAAAGGTACGTCTTACCACAGTCTTTGAGGTCCTCTGAACGGCCAAAATCTTATTTTCTAGGGAAAATTTAATGCACTTCACTTCTCCTTTATCTTCCATTCTTTAAGAAAGAAAATATTAAAGAGTTAAATTTAAGAACTAAATTCCAACTACTATCATTTTGTGAGAAGACAAAAGACAAGATAAATACCTAGAAAGTCACAAGTCCCCATTTAAAATTAAAACGGAATTTTTTTTTCCTTCAGGAAATTGTGTCCTTTATGCTTTTTCTCCCCTGCAACTATGTACAGAGAAGATAAAAAATATACAAGACCTGCATTTAATTTTAATCACAGAACTTCTTCGCAACAAAATTCAATTGGTAGCCAAGCTGATGGAGAAACCCAAAATAGTACAGACAATAAGAACTGGAGAACTAAGACCGTAGTGAACTTCTCATCTAAGAATTGTTCCATTCAATTATCAACCCAGCTCACTGACTCAAAGGTGACCGACTGGCCATGGGTTTCCTCCGAGCCTGTAAATCACACGGGAAGGAGACTGCCTATCTTTGTTACAGAAGCTGCTGGTGGATTTGAACCACCAGAGAGGCTCAGCCTTCTTAGGTCAGGAATGCCATTCCCCATGGAATAAGCCACCAGGGCTCCCTAAAAATTTTTAGGCTACATTTGTCCACACAGCTACCTTCTGGATCAATCACTGCCTTCACAGTGCTTCTGGACAGCGGGTCTGCCCTTTCACAACCCACAAAGCTTCTGAACAGCGGGTCTGCCCTTTCACACCCCACAATGGCAACACACGAGATGACACCCCTACACGCAGTACTTCAGAGATGCCACAAACACGCTCAGAAGTGAACTCAAGGGAAAATTCTAAGGGCTGTGGAAATATGGAAATATCCTGACTGTGACAATCGCCTCATACCAAAACTCATCAAACTGCTTATGTACAAAATGTGTACAGTTTATCCTATGTCAAATATACCTCATTAAAGGTTTATAAAGGGGAAAAATGTTAACCAAATAACATTGCTTGTAAGCCCTACCTAGCCCCTAAATCTGGACCATGGTGTCACTGTCATTTTTCATGTCTTACTGACCAACTCGCCTGGCCTATGACAGCTGGGACGCCTCTGCAATGCTCCTCACGTGGTGCGGCCCTAGTTCCACTTTTCACCGCCTCTGCCCCAGAGTTCCACATCTGTGCATTAACACAGGTCCCCCTCTGGACCCTGAGAGGCAAGCTTCACCTCACATATTTTGGGCATGTTGTCAGGAGGCTCAGTCCTTGGAAAAAGACATGATGATGGGAAAGGTGGAGGGCAGAGAAAGAGAGCAAAAGCCATAACACAATGGACTGAAACAGTGACTGTAACAGGCTGGAGCACATCAGAGACGGTGAGGACAGGCCCGGATAAGGCAAGGGTCAGAGCTGTTGTTCATAGGATCACTACGAGTTAGTCTACTTGATGGCACCTAATAACAATTACCTCAATGCTGCCAACAACACTGTATCCCAAATACGATGACCACTCCTCACCTAGAAAACTCTCCCCAAGATGAAGCCCAGATTCCACAGCAGACTACAGAACCGTTCAACCAAGCCCTGCGTGGCCACCATCACCCCTTCCTCATAGATACCCCAATCTTCAGTCACACAGACCTGCAGTTCCTCAAACACCACGGATGTTCCCCTCTGCACGTGGTGGCCCTTCGATGTGGAAGGCCTGCCCTCTTCTCCACCTCCAGAGACCTGTGTGGCCGTTAAAACCTTGCTCAAATGTTGCCTCTTCTGTGAGGCCTTCCTCTCCTGGGCCGTGGACTTGTCTAGCCCACCTAAGATAAATGTCCCTTCACTTCTGTGTGCTTACAATTCTTTGAGGCCAGCACTCACATGTCTCCCACACTGAATCTGTGAATTCCTCTAAAGGGGGCCAGACTCACCCCAAACTGTCATATACCTGGTGCCTAGCATATGACCTCCAATCAAATGTTTGCCTAACAAATGTCAAGCAAAAAGACTGATTCATTCCTCCACTTTTAAAGCACTTTGCTACTATTATCATAGGCCAACTGCCAAAAAAAAAGAAAAACCACACCCAAATAAAAAAAAAACCAACATAAACCCCCAAGCAAAAACTAAAACAACAATTAGAAAATGCCAAACTTTTCCAAAGTCTCATCCATAAATTCAAAGTCTTTCTCTCCTATAAACACAGCAGTCAGTTAAGATACCCAGATATTTTATCACTTAAATCGGGTCACTTCTGAAAGCGAAAGTGCTCTGTTTATAATTAGACCAGTTCAGCCTTGCGAACTAAGACATCAACTATGTGCAGAAGCCACGGCTTTCCTGATATGCACCATTACTGGGGAAACATTAACCCAGGAATCTCCCCCATCTACCCAAAACTCCGCAGACCTGGGCTAAGCAGGCAAACCAAGGCTGCCTCTCCCCACAGCAAGCGCATAGTGCCCTAGTTGACTCATTTAAGCGCCGGGAAGTTGGTGCCCTACTTTGGAGTATTTAGCCTCACAAATCAACAGGGAGCCACTCCACGCACTTCCAGCTGCCAGCAAGTCCTCTCTGCACCACCAGGCTGTACAGAAGGTGTGTGCTTCCTCTGTCCCCCACGCAGGGATCCGACACACACTTCCGCCAGCTAAGGGGTGCGAAAGGCCAACATTTCCAAACCACCTTCAGAATGAGGAACAGAAAAACCACCTTGTTTGCACGCCCCAATAATTCTGAACATTTCCACACTGTTTACCTAAATGAAATGGGGTTCCGATCGTCGGGTCCTTTCACTACAACCCCAGTAGCGCCTCCAGATCGGACGGCAAACACCTGAGAGGGAGGAGAGAGGCGATGTTAGGGGTCTGAATTCTGAATCAGGGCTCAGACACCAAAAACCACCACCCACAAGTGACTGTTGGCAACGACACACCGACCCTGGCTCAACTAAGTTAAGAGGCTTGTACGAATCTGCGCAAGCTAAGGGGTTTGTGTGAATGCTGAGATCATGGAGAAAGAAGAGGACAGTGACTCTGCAAGAGCTGCCCAGCGTACATGGCCGGGTCAGGGTCCCCAAGACCCCGAGTCTGTGGGTCGCCCGAGTGAGGGGTCTGGGACATTGGAATAGGAGCACTGTCCCTCTTTCCAAATTCCGAGAATAAGGGGACCTCAATGTCTACTCCTTTGACTGTACGTCGATTAGGAGTTTGGACATCAAAAGACGCCCAGAAAGGCCAAGGGATCGCAGGTCGGCGCCCCGCTTTCACTTTGCAAGAGGGAGCCGGCCTATCCCACGGCCTCCTCCCGTGCAGCCCGGGATGGAGCTGCGCCCGTTCGCGGCCGGGACGGGAGGGAGGCCGGGCCTGCTCCCAGGGCCCCGATGCGCGCGCGGGGACCCTCTCGGCGGACGCAGCTTTGGCCTCGCTGGCAGGGAAGAAAAGTGCGGGGCCCGCCCGTACCTGCTTGTTGGCCTCATCAAAGAAGACGCAGTTGACCGGGTTCGCCTTCTCGAATTGCACCGGCCGGTCGCTGAGCTCCAGGTAGTAGTCCTCCTCGCCCATGG